AGTCATGTATGGCTGTGAGAGTTGGACTATAAGGAAGGCCGAGCGCCGAAGAATAGATTCTTTTGAACTATGGTGCTGGAGGAGACTCTTGAGAGTCCCTTGGACTGCAAGAAGAACAAATCAGTCAATCCTCAAAGAAATCAACCCTGACTGTTCCCTGGAAGGCCAGATAATGAAACTGAAGCTCAAATACTTTGGCCACCAAATGAGAAGGGAGCACTCACTGGAGAAGACCCTGATGCTGGGAAAGATTGAAGGTCAAAGAAGAAGGGGACGGCAAAGGATGAGATGGTTAGACAGTGTCATCGATGCAACGAACATGAAATTGAGCAAACTTCAGAGGACGGCGGAAGACCGGAAGGCCTGGCGGGATCTGGTCCATGGGGTCGCGAAGAGTCGGACTCGACTGTGCGACTGAACAACAAAGCTCAGAGTACCTATACTTTTGTTTTGTGCTGAAAAATAGAGGGTTCATAGTTCTGGGTGGGGTTTACTTCTCTCTTCCTCCGCTCTCTACAAGGCTGCCAGAGTTATGCTGGCCACTAGCTGGATCATTGAAATGGACACGCTGGCCTAGGGCAAACTTCACCCTCCCCAGCACCACAGCACATCGTGCCAGACCCTATCTGCAATCTGTATCTGGCCAGGCTGTTGCAGACAACAGTGGGTAAGGAAAGACTCTCAGGGCAAGAGCAGGTGGCAGGGCAGGTATAGCAGCTGCCCACCCTGTAAGGCTGGTGAGCTAGCCCAGAGGAGTATGTCTCCCCTTCCCCAGCAGTCACGCTCACTGTGGCTCTGTTGTCTGAATGGAGCCATGCACCTAAGCAAAAGAGGCAGTAAGGACTGGCTTGCCTAGGTCATGCTCCAAACAGCTGCCTGCTAATTTTAGTCATTTGGTGGCATTTCCTGTTCATGATACCAACCTTTCAAAATTGCCTACCTTAAGGTAGCTATTTTTGATACACTGACCATCAAAAACACACACCTGCCAAATTTTGCCTACCAGTGGCATTGTGTGATAGCTTGTTTATTTGTTTTTCCTGTTGCTGTGCTTGCCAACTGGAATACACAAGTGCCAGGACCAAGGGAAACAATGCATCTCAACAAGTACTGAATGTCTTTGGGCTATGATATGAACTACAAAAACAAACAAACAAGGGAAGGATGTTTCACTGGATAACCATTCAAACAAGATACAACCACTTATTTTGTGTACATTTTCTACAAGCTGGTTAAATCTGATACCAACTGTGGCCAACAAAAGAGCAGAGGACGTCTGTCACTGCTACTGAGCATGCTTTATGTTCCATAGAGTTTAGCTGCAAAATGTAACCGGTGGGTTGTTTTTGGGTACTACTGTCAACATTGCATACCACAACACTACCTGGCCACTGGGGCCTCAAATTTCCCCTGCTCTAGAGAAAGCCTTAGGAACTTGAGATCCAATCCCATGTACAAGCTTAAGAATGATGATGATGCTCAGTGATACAGTCCTGCTGGTCAGTACCAACCGCAGATGCTGGGCCTGATCAATGCATACAGATGAAGAAAGAATTTCAAATGGCTAAGCAGCACCATTAAATTCTGAGGCTCCAAGACAGACAGGTGCCTCTTGTTTTCCCGCTGCCTGATATATTCCATCCTTTTTTAAATCTGCGGTTCCGAAAATTCGATCAGTATGTTTTCCCTTCTTCCATCAGATTCTTTTTCCTTTCCAAAATCCAATCTGTCAAGACAATTCAATAACAACCTTAGCATTTAATTGTACCCTGGGGCATAATAAAAACCAGCAAGAAGGATAGCTGTTGATATTTTTTTTGTTAAACTTCTTATGAAAATAAAACACAAACCCTAAAGTTAGGCTGGCTGGCTTTGTGGGTATAGGGCATAGTTCTAGCAATCTATAGGGAAAATGTATTTGAAAACTCCAAAATTGGATCCACACATTTCAAAACTGGCATGTGGCTTCGCCATTGTTCAGTAAAGGGAAACATCCTGTTTTGATTTACACATGCACCACTCAGTTAACAAGTGTGGCTGAGGGCAATTGGAAAACAGTCGAAGTGGTGAATGTGTGCCTTACTCTCATTTATACTGTTTCCTAAATACAATTTGTTGCTTCCCGCTCACCCCCCACCCCAGTACAGCATGTTTTTTGAAACATGCGGTGCCACAGAGAGGGCAAAGCTCAAGTCCTGCCACTATTCTGCCCAAATCCAACACAGGGAGTGGAATCCAAGGGCAGACATGCAAGACATACAGAGAAATAAATACTGAGCAAGTTTGCTCAAAAGTGCCATGTTATTCACTGGGGCTTGCCCCCAGGAAACTCTTGTTAGGGTTGCAGCCCTTGAAGGGGAACAGTTGTGGCTAAAGAAGGAGCAGCAGGCTCTGGGGGGAGAGGGGAAGTCTGAATCAGACATTAAGGTGGGTATGGGTGGATGATAGTGTTTGTCAATTTTACACATTTTCCTCCCACGTGCATATTCCTACCTGGAGTGCCTACCAAACATTAAGTTTTTTGGAACTAGGTTTCCATAGTAAAAAAATTCAAAATAGACACAAAAATGACATACGCAACAACAAAGTTATTCTGAAGTATCTCAAGTAAGCAACATCTCCATACGCGTATTCTACTAGGACAGTCCCCATTTTCCTGGTACATATGCCCAGTAAATTGCTGTTCCTATTTTAACCTTGGGGATGATTTTAGAGAAGGGGTGTTTTTTTTTTAGTGTTACTGGGTATACACATGGAATGCACGTTCCTTCCATTCTGTCCTAAACAGGGCCAGTTTATGGTACTTTGTCACTACAAGCAAGGTATTTATTTGTTTCACATATTTATAAACCACTTTTCATTCTACACTAAAAGAGTTTCCAGATGTGGAGAAAATACCATAAACATTAAAAACTGCAGCCGCAGATTTCAACAATCAGCACACCAGCAATTCAATTTCCAGAGGGCCCTTTAAATCATAAAATCTTAACATTTTTTCTTGAAGCATGACCAGTGTTCCCTCTAAGCTGAGTTAGTGTGAGATAGCTCACAGATTTTTAGCCTCCGGCTCACACATTTTTGTCTTCGCTCAGGAAGGAGGGCTCCAGAGCAAACTAATTTATGCAGCAGCCAAATCGCTCGCTCACCACTTTAATGCCGGTAGCTCACAAAGTAGGATTTTCGCTCACAAGACCCCACAGCTTAGAGGGAACATTGACAGAAAATGTCAGTTCCTTCCCACACTTGTTTCATTCCAAAGGACTGGGCTGCTGCCAAGAAATCCCAAGCAGGAGCTGAAATCGTCCCATCTGGCCCAGCACACTACGGGTCTTATGTCAGGAAAGGCAATATTGGTCCCAGCCCATTAAGAGTTTTCAGGATTCATGCCAGCGCTCTGAACTGCACTCAGCAACAAACTAATTCTACAGTTTCCACCAATTCCCCCTTTCCACTGCAGACTCCCCTCATGTGATTCCTCAGGTCCCCTATCCCCCACGAGCCATATTTCATGGAGATAAGCAGGCTACATTAAAAGGCAGGAGGCATCAAATTTCCATCCTGCCATTTAGCCTGGATCCAACCCCAGGTCCCAGATAATGTCACATGTGGGCACTGGGTTGCTCGCTCCAGGTTGGGTAATTCCTGGAGGATCCGAGGTGGAGCCTAGGGAGGGTGGGCTATGGGGAGGGGTGGGACCTCAGTAGGGTATATGCCATAGATTCCCCCCTCCAAAGCAGCCATTTTCACCAGGGGAACTTATCTGTCATCTGGAGATCAGTTGTAATTTTGAGATATCTCAAAGTCCCCACCTGGAGGTTGGCAACCCTTTGTGGGCACACACATCTACTATTTCTCCCCAAAAGAGGAAAATGCACATAATGTGTCATTCCCATCCATGTAAGCTCTTACAGTCATTCGTTAGACAGGCACAGGTGGTGCTTCTGAGGAATGTGCCCAGAATCAGTGTGGTGTGGTGGTAAAAGTATTGGATTAGGATCTGGTAGAGCCAGGTTCAAATTCCTCACTCTGTTGTGAAGATAGTGCCATGACCAGCCCCTCTCTTTTGGCCTCCCCTAAAAATGGAATTGATCTTGGTTCAAGCTGCTCAAGTGTAGCCTACCTCACAGGATTGTTAGATCCAGGTAGCCATGTTGGTCTGAAGCAGCAAAACAAATTTAGAGTCCAGTGGCACCTTTAAGACCAACAAAGGTTTATTCAAGGTATGAGCTTTCATGTGCAAGGCACAGTTTTTCAAATACATTGGAATGGTGTGTAAGGTTCAGACGTATAGACAGGGAAATTAATATTATTTTCTAATTGTGGGAAGCAAACTGAGAATCTCCGTTCTGTCATTCATGCCTAGGAGGACAGAATGGAGATTCTTGGTTTGCTTCCCACAATTTGAAGAAAGAACACCTTTGGACATTTATCTGCTATTCGGACATATTTATTACTTCATAACTGTTGACATAACCTTAGCTTGTTATTTTGGAATTTGCATATCTTAAACATCATCATGTTAATTTCCCTGTCTATACGTTCGAGCCTTACACACTATTCCAATGTATTTGAAAAAGTGTGCCTTGCACACGAAAGCTCATACCTTGAATAAACCTTCCTTGGTCTTAAAGGTCCCACTGGACTCTAAATTTGTTTCACAGGATTGTTGTGAAAATAAAATGTTGGGTCAGTCACTCACTGTCAACCTCGCCTACCTTATGTACACCGACAGAGCAGGCTTTTTTTAAAAAAGTAATACATTATATAAAGATGTATAAACAAAGGGTTAAATTTGCCCTGACGGAAAGTCACGTGACTCTGGAAAAGACCGCTAGGGAAAATCGGTATGAAAGAACGTTGTCTGAAAAGACCGGGCTCCGGTTTAGCAAGGGGACAGGAAAAGAGTCAGTCACGTGGCTTCACTTACTTCTCCTCCTCCCCCCCCAGTTCTCGCGAGACGGTTTTCCCCGTTTTCTCACTGCCTTTGGTAATCACGTAATTTTTCCGCGCCGCGTCGCACGCCGGGTTCTAGCTTGAGCGCTGTGTCACCGTCGTGCGTTTCCGTCTTCTTTTTCGCCTCCCGCCTTAAGATTTTCCCGTCCGTCGGGCCCTGATGGAGTATCTTATTGGCATTCAGGGACCGGACTTCGTCCTGGTGGCTGCGGACACCATCGCAGCCTCTAGCATCGTCCATATGAAGCGCGGTCAGTCTGTGGGCCTTGGAGGGTGATTGATGGTCTGTTTCTCTTGCTCAGGAGCGCTTGCATCTTGGCATCTTGTCAGGCGCAGGAAGGGCCTCCCTTGCCATGCAAAACGGAGTCCTTTCGTTTTGTTACCGTCTTCTGGTTCTGTTCTTCTCCCTAGCTGTAAGAGGGTGCGCTGGGGGGGGGTGTTGGTGGGTGGAGGTAAGCTACGAGACTTGAAGTTCCCATATGAGTCGGACGCAGGAGTTCTGCTCTCCAGGACAGCCTCCTCTCTGCCTTTCTCTTTTCCGTAAAGAGGGGGGGCGGGGGGGGGGGGAGTAATAATGTCATTTTTGCCAAGCACCTTTGTTTCCAGTGTACCCTGTTATTGGTACTTAGGCCTTGCCTACATATGCAGCAGAACAAGGAGTGGGATTCTGCGGTGGCAGAATGGGCTTGAACTACTTCAGACTATAGATGTTGGTAGGAGGTTTTAGTGCTTCTCATGCAAAGAACAAAGCCCAACATTTTGGTTTTTTAGGTCATTTATAGCCTGCTTTTCTCAGTGAAACTCAAGGTGGGTTACAGGGTAAAGAAAGAGAGAGAAAATGTAATCAAGCAACATAAAATTCCAATGAACAATGCAACAGGTCTAGGAATATAACATTCAAAGACAATGTGAGTAACAAAAAGTATAGCAAAAGTATTGTGTAAGCAATGTAGAATGTGGCGTACCTATAATAAAAACTGTATGCCCTCAAGTTGCAACTGATTCATGGCTACCACAGGATGAGCAGAAGTGGTTTGACTTTGACTTTCTCTGTATAGCAGCACCCCCAGTCTTCCATGGTGATTTCTCTTCCAAGTGAGAACCATAGCTGGCCCTGCTTAACTTCTGAGCTCTGATGACATGGGTCTAGTCAGGGCTATCCAGGTTGCTGCCTATAATAATAAATAATAATTATTATCAAATGTGCTTATTGATGGCTTATAGGAAATTAATGTAGATGAACTTTTGAAAACTATAATGCCTCCCATGAAGTCCACAGTAGTAGTCTGTTCTGTCACCTCACTTTCACTGCATTCTGTTGCAATGTAGAAGCTGCTGCTCAGTTGCTGATAGAAGAAGAAATTTCTGCCTGAACTGCTTGAGGGCGGAGAGGACTGCTTGCCATGCAGTCTAGCCTGTGGTGCCATGTGACCTAAAGCTGCTATACCTACCCCGCCTGCCTGCCAGTTGAAGACCACTGATTATTTCATTGTAATGGGCAATGTGCAGCCTAATGTTGGGCTAGGTGCTGTACAACTTTAAAGCAAAGTGCATACACAAGGCCGTGTTGAAAACAGGGCACACAATGAAGTAGGGCAGTAAGAAATTTTCTGTCTGAAGTGCCACTGGGAGCACAATGCTTTGCACATTTTCCCAGTCTGGACCTAGTGATTACACAGGATTATACCACAAGTGAAGATGAAAACCTTGCATGCTTGCCAGGTGTAAAGATTGCTGTCAAAGGGAGGGAGGCTAAAAATGAGAAAGTGTAACTACATGATATACAGGCTATTCTGCTGTAATTACTGCTTTAGAAAGTATATTAAGAGTGGTTTATTATGGCGTTATCATTTTCATGGGCCAACTTGAGGGCCCTTTTGAGCAGAAAGGTAGGATGTAAAAATTCTAAACCTAAAGTGAAGGAATGGAGTGTAAGTGAATTGGATAGATTTGTGGTTTAACAGGTAGAGCTGTAGGAGAGGAACTACAGACAAAATTTTGTCTAAGTCTTACACTATGACTATTGAAACAGGTTTTTTATACTATTCAAGATCATCAATAAAACGTATATACTTTAGTTACATATCATAGATGTTCTGAACAAAATGTACATATGATAGAATAAAATTTGTTAAAACAAATCCATATTTTTCTGCCTGATTAGGCATGCCAAGGCAGAAAATCTAGCTACCATAAGGGTAGTTTCATTACAGAAATTAACAAGAAGAAGAGAGGTATAAAATTGTTGGGATCTACCTGGATACTTGGATATAATTAGAGTAAGATACATATTCCAAATGCTCTGGTAAGACCGGCAGTATAAGAGGACATGCTCAATTGTTTCTACCATTCCAGCTTGGCATGGGCATAGATAAGAACATAAGAGAAGCTAATGTTGGATCAGGCCAATGGCCTATCTAGTCCAAAACTCTGTCACACAGTGGCCAAAAATACCAGGTGCCATCAGGAGGTCCAGCAGTGGGGCCAGGACACTAGCAGCCCTCCCACCGTTGCCCCCGCAAGCACCAAGAATACAGAGCATCACTTGCCCCAGACTGAAAGTACCTGTCTGTACCTTGTGGCTAATAGCCATTGATGGGCTTCTGCTCCACATGCTTATCTAATTCCCTCTTGAAGCTCTCCATGCTTGTAGCTGCCACCACCTCCTGTGGCAGTGAATTCCATGTGTTAATCACTCTTTGGGTGAAGAAGTACTTCCTTTTATCTGCCCTAACCCGACTGCTCAGCAATTTCATGGAGTGCCCACAAGTTCTTGTCTTGTGAGAAAGGGAGAAAAGTACTTCTTTCTCAACCTGCTCTATCCCATGCATAATCTTATAAACCTCGATCATGCATGTCATGTATGGGATGTTTCACGTATGGGATCTGTGCATATCTCCCTTCAAGGAGGGCAGATGGAAGAATGTTAAGTTAGGCCAAGGTAAAAGCTCTGCAATGTTTGGGGAATTCCAAAGTATAGAGGTAGCTAGATGGAACAAAATGTTGGTGCAACCCAAATGTAAGGCCTCTTCTGGCAGTGTAAAAGACTGTGTTTTTATTCTGGCCTAAGCTAACTTGGAGTGTAGTCTGCTTTGCCAGGTGCCTGAGGTAGGATCTTGCATGGCAGGCAAGGGAACCCAGAACATTAACCACCCCTCTGAAATTAATGTCAGAGCGTACTTAGAGCTGATCAACATGTGACGGTGGCAGATAGTGCCTTTAAAGTAAAGTGTTTCATGGAAATAGTGCAGTTTAAAATGCACAGAATGTGCACTTCCATACTTCTGGGAACACCTATAGCACTTCCCTCTTTGGTGTTTCTCTTGTCACCTCAGTACTAAAAGGAAGAGGGTGGAGACTCAAGATAAACAGGGTGTGGGGGTGTAGAGTGGTGGGCCACACTTCATTCAAAGGCTGCCATATTAGGGCTGTCTGAAACTCATGATGGATAGCAGCAAAAAACCCTTGGGTGGGAGTAGGGTGATGGCTGCCCTTGCATGGATTGTTCGTGCAAAAATTGCTGCCTATAGTAGCTTGTAGAGCAGTACTTAAGTGTTTGTTAAGTAGCCTTTTGCCCCACGGCCCAGTCAAGAGACAGAGGTGGCAACATCAGCACTTTCATAGGAAGGGTCATTCTGTACTACTTCTGTGAATTAGTAACAAAGACTTTCCTGGCATTGTGTTTTATTTTTGCTTCACATCATACAGAGGTCTAGTCTTAAACTTAAACAGGAAAGCTCCCCCACAAGCATTCTAACAACTGCAAAAGACTTTTGCCTGTCCTTTTAATAGTCTGACGTTTCAGAGCCTTCCACAGGTCTTCCAGAGAAGATTATCCAGCTGTAGTTTCGTAAACAGAAAACAAAGATAAGGTTCTGATATGAAGATCTGGAGTGTTCTGTAGCAGGTGTCTGAAATACAGAGAGCTACTTTTCCCAAGATGGGTCGCCGTGTTAATCTGTCTGTAGCAGCAGAAAAGAGTCCAGTATCACCTTAAAGACAGACAAAATATGTGGCAGGGTATGAGCTTTTGTGAGTCACTGCTCACTTATATCTGCTACTGGACTCTTGCTCTTTTCTACTGCTACTTTCCCAAGAAAGCAGTGGTTATGCCTAGAATACTACTTGCATGTAAAACATGATTATACAGTTATGAATGGCACAAAAATTGTATGCTTCAAGGTTTGATTTTTGAGTAGTGCTCCTTCTTCCCTATCCCCAAACCACTTGTTTTTCAAAAGCTTTATTATCATAATAAAATGTAAAGACTTTTATAATTTCTTGCCTTCCTGAGAGTTTAGCACTTTCTAAACTATAATTGATTGGACTTTTTTCAGTCACTTTTAGGAGGGCTATCAGCAAAGAACCCTGTCTTAAACTGGTTGATGTAGTAAATATAAATACACTTATATATTAATGCCTCAATTGACATGGGCTGTTGGAGTAAATGCAACCAAGTAACTTTTTAGGATAAGGATCCTGTGAATTCTCCATATTTGTCTATGGTTTGCTTGCAGTCTCATTTTCATAAGTTCCTAAACCATTAATTTTGCATGTGTGTGGGGGGAGTGTAGGAAACCTCTGTTCATTTCTCTCCCCTTCTGTCTCATTATGTGAAGCTTCACAGTAGCTTACTCTTATTTTTGATTGTACCATTATTTCTTTTGTTTTCCATGAGTCTAGATCATGACAAGATGTTCAAGATGAGTGAGAAAATCTTGCTCCTATGTGTTGGGGAGGCTGGTGACACTGTCCAGTTTGCAGAATACATCCAGAAAAATGTCCAGCTCTACAAGATGAGGAATGGTAAGTGGAGACTGCTCCTTTCTTGTTGGGGGCTCCAAATGTTTAGGATTCTCTAGTGATGAAATACTTCCTGTGTTTACAAAACTGCAGAACGTGTGACTGGATTAGATGGTCTAGAATTCTACATGCAGCTTGGTTGGGGAGAGGCAGAGTGTGTGTCTCCTATGCACCATCCTAGTTGTTGTCATTTGAGTGCCCCTCCACTTGTCCTGAATGACATTGCAATTGAGCAGGTTCTAAAAAGAAACTTTTTCTTTGCACCTGTGTGCTTCTGAAGTCTCTAAGAGCTAGACTACACGTTCTGAATACTCATGTAATCGTATTACATCTCTTCAGACTGAAGGTCTGATAATATTTATATAAAATCTTTCTTGTTCTTGGAAACAGTACATCAGGGTTAGAGGTGAGTGAGATAGAAGTTCTCCTGAAATACTAGTCTTCTAAAGAAAGGGGCATTAAAAACCCCACAAGCATCCATTCAAAGATGGGACCACATATGTGGCCTGATTGGATATAGTATCAGAATACTGTACCACATTACTTCAAATACGTATGTTGGCTCTAAAGCGTTTTATCGATGCATGCAGTTCTGATCCCTTGTCCATGTTTGCATGATAACAGCTATGTGCATCCATACTGTCCTACCTCCTGCACAGGGCTGGAATTTATCTCAACTGTTCACTTTGGGAGATTTCCAAAGCATTAGTATAAATGGGAAGAAACTTTTAGCTGCCAAGTGAAAAAGACTGTTTCCCTACCCCACATCTGTTGCAGAATCATTCTGACCCTGACTTCAAGAGATCAGAGTTGTATATGAGTCAAGAAATGAAAGAATTGCTTCCTTTCACGCTCTGAGAATATTTTCATTCACCTATAGGCTTGTGACTCCTGCCAACCTAGCAGTTCGAAAGCAAGAAATTGCAAGTAGATAAATAGGTACCACTTCAGTGGGAAGGAAACAGCGTTCCGTGTGCCTTGGTGTTTAGTCATGCCGGCCACATGACCACGGAAATGTCTTCGGACAGCGCTGGCTCTTCGGCTTTGAAATGGAGATGCGCACCGCAACCCTAGAGTCGGATTCAACTGGCTTTCGAGCAAGGGAACCTTTACATTTACCTTTACTTTATAGCCTTCTGAATATGTTAATTTCTTGATGACAGGGTATGAGTTGTCTCCAACTGCAGCTGCCAACTTCACGCGTCGGAATCTGGCTGATTATCTGCGGAGCAGGGTAAGCAAGATGCAAGCTATACCTTTTAATTAGACTCGTGTTGAGTTGGTTCTGGCTTTTACAGTCCATAGCAGAAACTGGTTTGCATTTTTCGACTCTATAAGGTTGAACAAGCTACTGGCAGAAGTATTCACCTTTTGATAAGGGTGGCAATTAGCAATAAATAGTGAACATCCTTAAGTTTGTGTCTTGTTACAGATGAAAGGTGTGCTTTTTCAAATGGTTCTTCAGAAGCAGCCATTCTGGGTACCATACTCTGAACTGAAAATGAATTTTTCTCTGCTTATTTGCTACATCAGCAGTATTCACAAGCTTAAATACTTGAATTTCCAAGACTGCATTTTTAAACTTTGCTTGCAAAGGCAGCCAAAGCTAAGCCAGGCGGTTGCCATGCAAGCTTAAGGTCTGCATCCTAGTTAATTCAGATTCTCTGCCAAGGAAAAAGTTAAAATCTGCAATTTGTATTATGAAACTGAGCACACTTGCTTAATTCCTCTTCTCTTAATTTTGAAACCATACTAATTTGGCAAAACCAGAATAAAGTCTGCAAACTATAGGGAGGGGTCTAGAGCCGTGCTGGGTCCTGAATCCCTGTCTTCAACCATAGGTAGTCTTGTCTCGTCCCCTTTCCCCCACCTCCTGGGATTTCAGCAGCCTCTGGTTGCTTGCTCCCTGACTGTGTTGGCAGCCCTAATGGCTAAAATGGGGTGGGTGGGTGTGTTTTTTAAGTTAAGGTTTTCTGGAAGCTAGATTCTCTGGGACCAGTACGGTATTTTGTATGTCTTTTCTCTGCACTCCCTTGTTCTTAACACAAGGGCTGGATGAGGGAGAGCAAATACAATAATAATGACTGAATGAGGGGCACAAAATTCAGCCAAAACAGAAGTGCTGTTGTATTGGGAGTAAAGCTGAGACAGAACTAGGTATACAGTGTGTTCTGGGCATGGTTGTACTCATTCTGAAAGAGCAGGACCACAGTCTGGGGGATTGACCGTGGATGCTTGTTCTGGTTAAGCAGCTTTCCTGGACACTTGTCACACATATCTTAGTAGCATTCAGAACAGATTACTGTAACATGCCCTACATGGAGCTGCCCTTGAAGACGGTCTGGGAAACATCACTGTTCAAAATACAGCAGCCAGGGCATTCAGTTGGGGCTTGCTGCAGCACACATGTTAAGCATCTAATATTTTCTGGTCTCAGTTTGAGATGCTCTATTAGTCCTTAATGGCTTGGCCTTAAAGTACTTAACAGACTGCATCCCACCCACATGTTTTTGTCCATGCGCTGAACTACAAGTGGTTCCTCTTGTAGGAATCTACTTTATCACAGGCTTGTTTGGTGGGGACCCACTCCAGTGCTGTAGAACTCTCTTCCTTGCAAACTCTGTTAAGCCCCCTCAGTACAGACCTTCCAGCAGTCTCTAAAGACAGAGTTGTTCCTGAAACCTGCAAGCAGTGTTGTTTATTCTGGCCTTTATTAGTTGGTGTTGTTGCTACTTTTATATACTGTTAAGTTTATTTTTTTGTTTGCAATTTGCTCTGGGCATATTTACTACAGAAGGGTAGCCCATCTGTATAGCACTGTGGACCATACAAAAAGTTCATATTTTTATTCTTCTGCAAAAAGCTCTGTAAAGCCAGTATTACTGCCTGCATGCTGTGGACAGGGTCTCTGGGCTTGAGAAAGTTGCTTGGCTGAGGCCACTTGGTAAAGTTCAGTTATGTCATAGGCTGTTGGCGAATCACATTGCACCAATGATGAGTTAAGACAAGCTTATTTAGTTCCTCACTTCCCTCTCTTGCAGTGGCTGATTGCAACGGTATTGTTCCCAGCTCCTTTCACTGTGATTCTTTTGATGGGGTGTCTCTTTTTTCCCATAAGCATGTGCATACACATGACTGAATGCTGCAGGGCAGAAAATGAAAAGTAAAAATGGAAATGGCATGTGATTAGCCGCGTTTGCCCCTTATTTGGAAACGGCTGCTTTTTTAAAAAGTAGCATAGCATTATAGCAGAAGGAAATGGTGAATAGGTAAAAGGTTTGTTCCCTGGGTATGATTTACATGATAAAGCAACCTTGGTGGGTATGTGTATTGTCAGCGATGGACTAGGAGACCTTCTCAGACTCCTGTGTAAACTGCCTTGACTTTCACAAGGATGGGATATGAATGCAGTGTAAACAAAGGGCAGAAGATGATGGGTTAGTATTTGCTTTTGTTACAGAGGCATAAGACACCGGTTGTATATAGAGAAACAATTGACAAAGGTTGGCTATACAGGGATAGTTTCTCTAAATGTATAGTGTTGATTCAATCTGTGTATTCTAACAGTGGCAAAGCAGAATGCCTTTGGGAAAACAACTTGTTTATAATTGGCATCTGATATTGGGTGTTCTCCTTTTATACACAGGTTCCATTGAGCAATCGTAGCTAATGGCCATTCATCTGGCACAAGTAGTCCATCAGGCCACTTTGCTCAGTATACAGACACCCAGGAGTCTGAGGCCTAGCAGTGCCTTTGGGTCTCTGCTTGCTCCACATGTGTCTGGCCAGCTACAGCCTCACATTCGTCCCTCACCTACTTTGTTGTGTTTACCCAAAAACCTTCAGCTTTTTAAACCTAGGGGTTCTCTGCACCCCTTCTCCCCCGCCAAAGAAAAATCCAACCAGCCATGGACAGGGAAATGAACTAACTCCTTTTTAAGAAAATTGAGGCGGCCTTCATTTCTCATACAAATGTGTGGATTCTGTCCCATCTCTCTGCAAACAGTTCAATAGAGTGAAGCTGTTTGATGTGGTGAGCCAGGCAAGCTCCTTTTTGTGAAAACGAAACGTAGAGGCTTTTGAATAAGTATACCAAGCTGAACTGTGCGTACACAGGCACCAAATCAATTACCAAGTCTTCCATGGTCCCATCACAAGGAACTGCTAAGAGAGCCCACTTCCTCAGCTCTTCTCCAGCACAGCAACACTAGTACATGCTTTTCCTTGCTACCTGTCCTCCACTTCCCCGGGTAATGAATAGAGGCTTGCAGCTCTCACTTTGTAGCAGAGGCCTGGTCAGGTGTGGGGTACCGCTTAACCCTCTAAATGTTCCAAAATTTCACCTCAATGGACTGTCCCATAAAGGTCCTGTGTAAGTGGGAGTCTCCTTTTTAAAACGGTGTTGTTGTTGTTCAGTCGCACAGTTGAGTCCAACTCTTCGTGACCCCATGGACCAGATCACGCCAGGCCCTCCTGTCTTCCGCCATCCTCTGAAGTTTGCTCAATTTCATGTTCGTAGCATCTGTGACACTGCCTAACCATCTCATACTTTGCCGTCCCCGTCTTCTTTGACCTTCAGTCTTTCCCAGCATCAGGGTCTTCTCCAGTGAGTGTTCCCTTCTCATTTGGTGGCCAAAGTATTTGAGCTTCAGTTTCATTATCTGGCCTTCCAGGGAACAGTCAGGGTTGCTTTCTTTTAGGATTGACTGATTTGATCTCCTTGCAGTCCAAGGGACTCTCAAGAGTCTTCTCCAGCACCATAGTTCAAAAGAATCTATTCTTCGGTGCTCGGCCTTCCTTATAGTCCAACTCTCGCAGCCATACATGACTACTGGGAATACCATTGCTTTGACCATGTGGACTTTTGTTTGCAGGGTGATGTCTCTAGTTTTTATCATGCTGTTTAGGTTCACCATCGCTTTCCTCCCAAGGAGCAGGCGTCTTTTAATTTCATGGCTGCAGTCACAGTCTGCGGTGATCTGGGATCCCAGGAACGTGAAGCCTGTCACTACTTCCTCGACTTCCCCTTCTATTTGCCAAGGAGTGATGGGGCCGGATGCCATGATTTTAGTTTTCTTGATGTTGAGCTTCAATCCCACTTTTGCGCTCTCCTCTTTTACCCTGAGAAGGAGGCTCTTTAGGTCCTCTTCACTTTCAGCCATTAGAGTGGTATCATCTGCATATCTGAGGTTGTTGATCTTTTCCCCAGCAATCTTAATTCCCGCTTGTGATTCATCCAGGCCAGCATTTCGCATGATGTACTCTGCATATATATTAAATAAGCAAGGTGACAATATACATCCTTGTCGTACTCCTTTTCCTATGCTGAACCAATCAGTTGTTCCGTATCCGGTTCTAACTGTCGCTTCTTGGCCCTTATACAGGTTTCTCAAGAGACATGTGAGGTGGTCTGGTACTCCCATCTCTTTAAGGACCTGCCATAGTTTGTTGTGATCCACACAGTCAAAGGCTTTAGCATAGTCAATGAAGCAGAAGTAGATATTTTTCTGGTACTCTCTTGCTTTCTCCATAATCCAGCGAATGTTGGCAATATGATCTCTCGTTCCTCTACCTCTTCGAAACCCAGCTTGTACTTCTGGTAGTTCTCTATCCACGTACTGTTGAAGCCTAGCTTGTAGGATCTTGAGCATGACCTTGCTAGCGTGTGATATGAGTGCAATTGTGCGATAGTTTGAACATTCCTTGGCATTGCCCTTCTTTGGGATTGGAATGTATACTGATCTTTTCCAATCCTGTGGCCACTGTTGCGTTTTCCAAATTTGCTGGCAAATGGAGTGCAGAACTTTAACAGCATCCTCTTCTAAGACTTTGAATAGCTCAGCTGGGATACCATCACCTCCACTAGCTTTGTTGTTAGTAATGCTTTCTAAGGCCCATTTAACTTCACATTCCAGGATGTCTGGCTCGAGGTCAGTGATTATACCGTCGTGGTTGTCAAGGACATCGAGGTCTTTCTTGTATAGTTCTTCTGTGTATTCTTGCCATCTTTTCCTAATCTCTTCTGCTTCTGTTAGGTCCCTACCGTTTTTGTCCTTTATCATGGCCAGCTTTGCATGGAACGCTCCCTTGATTTCTCCAATTTTCTTGAAGAGATCTCTAGTCCTTCCCATTCTATTGTTTTCTTCTATTACTTTGCACTGTTCATTCAGGAAGGCCTCCTTATCTCTCCTTGCTGTTCTCTGGAAATCTGCGTTCAGTTGGGTAAATCTTTCC